TATGGTAGAGATATTATTATTGGTATGAAACATTTTAGAAAAAAGTTATACAATTTAGCTGTGAATAATATCACATGTTAAAGGTGTCTTCTGAGTGATTTAGCTAAAAAAAAAATTAAATATTTGTTTAGACTGAAAATCAGCAGGAATATTACGGAAACAAGTTGATTCTACCTCGCATCAAACTTGTTCAACGCTATATTTAGCTTTTCTTAAAACAAGAATATTACTCCCTCCGTTCATTTTTAGTTGTCCACTTTTAACTTTACACTCACTTTAAAAAAAAAAAGTATGTATTTTATAATTTTATCCACAATAACGATACCATTACCAAAAGTCTTGGAAAATGATTTGGGGAATGAGCAATTATTGATAAGGGTAAAATTAGAAAAAAAAGATTTTCTTTCTCTTGATTTAGTATATAGAAAAGTAAAAGTAAATATATATTTAGTACCGTAGACAAATAAAAGTAAATGAAGAGAGTAGATAAAACTATTAAGTGATCCTTAATTTGTAGTCCATCGAAAACGTATTAATTTTAAGAGTTCGTGAAACGAAGATGCATATCGACATATGTAGAAACGATAACCTGCTTCATCAATGTTGCATCTAAACTAAAAACACTAACCTCGAAAAAGCAACATATTACTACACAACATCATAACGTTCACATTTGACTTATTTCTCTCTTACACATTGGACCCAAAGCTTCCAAGAGTCAGTCATTTAAACATTGAACTGTGCAAACTGCAAAAACGACAAACAATAATTTTCCCTCGCCACCTCCCAGGCTCCCAAAACCCTTTATCCAACACCCTTTTTAAACTATTCTATTCAAACGCTAGTCTTGGATTCTTGGTTCTAGTTTCTTTGCCTCGAAACTTTTCCTTTTGGCTTCTTCTCTTCTTTCCTCGATACCTATCACCCCTAATCCTTACCCTACACTTAAAAAACAAACACTCACACACCCAAGTCAAAACCCTTTAATTTCCTCACTACAAATACCCATTAACCCACACCCTATTTTCTTGAAATATCATTGGCTTGATTTTCTGAGTTTTGGGACTCCAGTATAAAAATATCCCCGTATTTCATCTATTACTAGCTGATTTGAATCCATATACTTTTGGGGTGTGCAACTTTGGTTGTTCTTTCCTTCGAGCTAAGATAGATCTTTATTCCTGTTTGTTAGAGAGAAAATGGTGCAACTGGAAGAGGAGGGCGAAAATGAACACAAGGATACCAATTTTTTCATCAATGACAATGTTGACGTGCTGATAGAGATACTGCAAAGGCTGGATGGTGGCTCCTTAGGGGTTGCTGCATGTGTTTGTAGACTCTGGTGCTCCATCACTAGGAACGACTCTCTCTGGGAACACCTCTGCTTCCGCCACGTGTCTCCGCCTCCGGACGGTGTAAAGACGGTGGTGTTGGCTCTAGGAGGGTACCGGAGACTGTACATGGTGTGTGTTAGGCCAGTGTTGGACCGACTGAAGAAGAGGAAAATAGGAAAGGAGTCTGACTCGGAGGTCGTTAGAAGAGTTTGGACACGGCATGAAGTGGAACTTTCGTTATCGTTGTTTTGTGTGGATTATTATGAAAGGGTATTTTTGGGTGGTGGTAGCAGCGGAGGAAGACTCAGAGGTGGAGGTGGCGGTGGCGCTCCGGCAGCATCGTCGCTTATGTTCCTTTGCAACGCCGTCAACGTTTGAAAAGTTGGAATCATTTCGATCACTATAAGTATAAGATGGCGAAAAGAACGATGACATATTAGATAAAGCAGGGTCATCTTTTTATGTTTGCTAGTATTACTTTTGATTTTTGGTAATTGAAATTTCTAGTATTTGTTCCTAATGGGGTGTTATTAATTATTACTAGCAATAAATAAAGAAAATCAGTTAATATTCTGATAGATTATTTTTTGTTTATCTTTACCGTTATATGAGTGTTGAATATAAGGTGATTTCGTATTCATTTTTTGTAGTCTAGCCATCAAAACAAGAATTTTCTTGCTTTAATGTCTAAAATATACGAATCTTTCTATACTTCCTTCACTAATTAAGAATTCGTTCTTCCCACGTGAAGTAGAAACGGACTTTACTGAGGTAATTCACTCTCTTTATCACGGCAATAGAATATATGACGATATTGTTAATTCATGCAGGTCGTTAATGCACTCGGAGAAAGGTATGGTCATCCGCCACGTATTCTGGCAAGGAAATGAAGTAGTCCACCACCTAGCAAAGTAGACCGATGCACACACAAGGATTAAAAAAATATTATGTGTAGCCTCCGCTTTTTGTTGAATCTTTTGTATTTAAGGATCAAAAGGAACGATGTATTTTTGTCAAGTTTTTAACTGTTAACGGGAGCCCAAGTCCAGGCCTAAACACAACTCTCACACGGCAGCCCACTTAGTGTTTAATATAACTTTTATATTTTACACTTTAATCTATATATTCTTTCATTAATTGCTTATGTATATAAAGCAGGGGAGCACTCTAGATCATGGGAGATTCATTTTTGTATCAGAAACTTCTAGAGATTAACAAAATAAGTCATTCTTCTCTCTTTCTATGTTCTAGGGTTTTCTTTGTGAAATTTTTTCTCACATAGCTCGATTCTCACACTAACATGATATCAGAGCAAAGGAATGGATGATCCTCGTTCTCCTCCTTCGACCGATGGTACCCTCATCGATTTTCATAGAGGTTTTTTGTTTCGTCGACCTCCGTCTGCCTTCACATTTTAATGTGAAGATTTGGGCTGCGGTGACTTCTAGTTGTGTATTGCAGCTATTTGAGATTTTCACGGTGATCTTTTGGTGGTTTTCCTTGAGCTCTCCGATTTTTTTGTTTTGCCCCGTTGATTTTCAACCGATAATTTTGGTTCAAGGCCTTACCTTCTTTAGGTTGCAAAGAAGGACAATAATATTCTCTTTAATCATGTTGCTTACTGGTGATAGTCGAGTATATTTTATTCCTATATTAGGAATTTTATATATCTAGGATTAATCATAGGAAGTCCAGGTATTAGTTCCTCTTCTGTGTTAGATGGTTTTGATGATTTTACCATACATCCATCTCACCCCTTTTATGTACATCCATCTGATAGTCTTGGTACACACCTAGTATCTCCACCATTCGATGAGAATGGTTTTGTTATTTGGCGCAAAAATACACTTACTTCCCTTTCTGCTAAGAACAAATTAGGGCTTATAACTGGAAGAATTACCAAACCTCAACTTAACTCTCCTTATTACTCCTTCTGGGAAAGATGCAACGACATGGTAATTGCATGAATAACAAAATCATTATCTAAAGTCATAGCAAACAGTGTAATGGGTTTTGATACTGCTAAAGATATTTGGGATAATATTAATGAAAGATTTGGGACATCAAATGATTCAAAATATATTCAAATACAAATGGAAATCAGTGCTGCTTCCCAAAGGTCTTTAGACATTGCCACTTATTTTACTAAATTGAGGGGTCTTTGGGATGAACTTAGTACTGCCTATGTAGGACAAGTGTGTATCTGTGGAGCCTTACCGAAATTCATTGAACAACAGAAAATATACTAGTTTCTTAGTAGTTTAAACGAGTCATACTCCACCTGCAAGAGTAATATTTTGATGACGACATCCCTTCCATCCCTAAGCAAAGCCTACTCTATGCTACAACATGATGAAAAATAAAAGGAGACTTCAACTCCTATCCCCCGCTTCTCAAATGAGTCATCTTTATTCAATGCTTCTAGCAGTCCTGTTCAGGCACCTGCTAGGACTTTTATCCAAAGGTTCCAGTTTGAACAAAAGAGAGGCTCGGGTTCTTCCTCTTAATTGTCTTGCAAGTATTGCAAAAAGACTGGTCATACTATTGAGAAGTGTTACAAACTACATGGGTTTACCCCTGACTTCAAGTTTACCAAAGGCAAAAGGTCTGTTGCATGTGTGCAACTGAAGGTCCCCTGCATCATCATGCTCACACCAATGGGCAGTCTTCTGAGACCACTGGTCATGGTTTCAGTAAGGAACAATATGAGCATCTCATGACCCTCTTCCAACAGCTGCATCATCCTCCTATCATACATCCGGAACCTCCTGGTTTAGAGAACATTGGTTTTGCTCACTTTGCAGGTGTGTTTAATCATCCTGAAGAATATTCTACTTCCTTTCATGCATGTGTAGTTTCAAATTAAGGTTCAAATCTTTGTATTCTAGATTCAGGTACTACCAACCACATGATACCACACAAACACCTTTTAAACAACTTAACATCACTCACTAAACCTTTCCTAATAACTTTACCTAATGGATATAAAGTGAAAGTCATATCTATTGGGTCTTTACAACTCAGGCCAAATATGATTTTGCATAATGTTCTATTAGTTTCTTCATTTCATTTCAATCTAATAACTATTCATAAACTCCTTGTTCAATTCAGATGCATTACAACCTTTACCATTTCTGCCTGCATTTTACAGGGCCCTTCTCTCAGGAGGCCATTGAAAATTGGTAAAGCTGCAAATAGGTTGTACTTCTTGCATCCATCTATGAGTTCATCTGCTATGTCTGCTTCTTTTCATATTTCTATTTCTAGTCCTGTTCAATATAATAATTCTAGTGCATCTTAAAATGCTTAGTCTATTTCTATAAGTGTTCCTCTTATCTATTGTACTACTTGTACTTCCTCTAATATTAATAAAACTGATGTGATTTGGCATCAAAGTTTGCGGCATGTACCTTTTAATAGAATGAAATTTATCTCCTTTTTGTCTGGCAAAGTTTCACCTAAACAAACCTTTTTCTGTGATGGATGCCCAATGGCAAGACAACAGAGATTGCCATTTTCTAAAAGTTTTATATATTCCTCTACCCCTTTCCACCTTGTTCATATTGACATCTAGGGCCTATATAATACTTAGACCTACAATGGGTTCAGGTATTTTTTGACCTTGGTAGATAACTTTTCCAGAGTCACTTGGAATCATCTATTGTCATGCAAGAGCAATTCTCTTTCTATGCTTAAGGCTTTTCATGCAATGGTAAAAGTTCATTTTAACTCCACTATTAAGACTTTTAGGTTTGATAATGCTTATGAGCTCGGCTCTAGCTCTGAAGCTCAACAATTCTTTTCTTTCAATGGCATTCTCCATCAGACTACTATCCCTCACATTCCTCAGCAAAATGGTACAGTTGAAAGAAAGGACAAACACCTATTGGAAGTATCTAGGGCTCTTTTGTATCAATCCAAACTTCCCCTCAAGTATTGGGGTGACTGTGTTCTCACAGCCACTTATTTGATCAATAGACTACCCTCTATTGTTCTACATAACATTTCTCCTTTTTGAAAAACTACATGGCTATCCCCCTTTTTTTGATCATTTGAGATCTTTTAGGTGTATTTGCTATGCTACTAGCCCTAATCATGGGTGGGATAAATTCAAACCTAGAGCTATTTCTTGTGTATTTCTAGGATACCCCTGTGGGAAGAAGGGTTATAAGTTCCTTATTCTTTCTATTTATTCTATCTTCTTCTCTAGGGATGTGTCTTTCCATGAACAAATTTTTCCTTACTACCTTCCTCATTCCTCTCCTTTCCCTTCTCCCCCCACTCCTTTTGTTGATTCTGTTGTTCCACCTGTTGCTCCTCTTCCATCTCCTCATCCTCCTACAGCTTTTATCTCTCATGTTGCACCTTGTGCCTCTTCTCCTTTATCTTCTCCTACTACTGTACCTACCTCTCTTTCTCCTCCCACTTTCACTTCTGTTCCTTCTCCTCCTCCTCCCCCTCCTCCCCTTCTTGATCTCAGGAAATCAGGCAGAGTTATCAACCCACCAGCATACTTATCAGACTTTGTTTGTTCTTCTGTTCTCCCCTCTTCTTCCGCACCTGTCTCCCTGAATCACAAGGTTTCTACCTCTGATCTACACATGCTTGAGCCTCAATTTTACCAGCAGGCTGCATCTAATCTTTCGGCAAGAGGTCATGCTACAGGAATTTCAATCTCTTGAGGCAAACTATATATGGGACATTGTCCTTCTACCTCCTCATAAGAAAGCCATCCCCTGCAAGTGGGTACATAAGATAAAGCAAAGGTCTGTTGGCTTCATTGAGAGATACAAGGCCAGACTTGTCATTAGAGGTGATACTCAGAAAGAGGGCATTGATTATACAGAGACTTTCTCTCCAGTTGTCAAGCTCACTTCTGTTAAGTGCCTTCTCTCTTTGGCTGTCAAGAGACATTGGACTATTTTCCAGTTTGGTGTCAATAATGCCTTCCTTTATGGGGATCTCCACAAGTGTACATGAGGATCCCTCTGGTCTTCAAGTTTCCTCTTCCTCTACTTCTATTGCCTCTCATTTGGTTTGCAAACTTGGGAAGTCTTTATATAGCCTTAAGCATACTTCCAGGCAGTGGTTTTCTAAGTTGTCTGATGCCTTTCTCTCCAAAGGATACATTGCCAGCAAGAATGATTACTCCTTATTCACTAAGTCCTCTAGTTCTTCTTTGGTCATTCTAGTGGTCTATGTTGATGACATTTTCCTTGCTGGTTCTGATATTGCTGAAATAACTGCCTTAAAACAGTTTTTGGATGAACAATTTAAGATCAAAGACCTTGGTCTGGTTCATTATTTTTTGGGCTTAGAGGTTTCCTCCATTCTAATGGTTATGTTTTGCATCAACACAAGTATACTTCAAGTTTGTTGGAGGAATTCAAGTGTTCTTATCTTTCTCCCATTGTCACTCCTCTAGATCCTTCTATCAAGTTAACTGTTGACATGTGTGACTCTCTCCCATATCCTAGCCTATATAAAAGATTAGTTGGCAAGCAAAATTTCTTAC